CGACAGCAGCTGCAGTTTAGCTGGAATCCCACATGTGGGGAGACCTGGGTGCTGAAATGACCCCTTTAATTAACTGGGAGTTCCTTAAGGACCCAGAAAACAGCAGAGGAGGAAGGCCAGAGCTGCGCAGCTGAAATCGCTCTCTCCCAAGCTCACAGGAACCCTTGCTGCCTGCCAGGGCTTTGCTAGGGTGAAGTTGCACAGCTCTGCTCATGTTGATGGAGCCATGCCACAGCTTGCACTGGCTGGTAACGGGCCTAGGGCACTATTAGTGGAGCATGGTATGTCTGATGGCATATGCTGGATCTTTTTTTTTCCAAGGATAACGCTAACGCAGCTTTAGAGCTGCCCGGTGTTCCTGCGGGCTCCTCCTCTTCCTCTCCCCACCTCCTGTCACTTGTGTACATATTGCTGCCGTGCACCTTTTGGCGTTGGAACCAGACGCTTTGCTTTTGCTGGCCCTGTGTCCTTTCAGCTGTGCTGAAAGCTGGAAGTATCATGGGTATTGAGGGGAGTGTTTGCCTTGTGTTTATTTTTAAGACTAAATCTCTGCAGGAGTAGCAGTACAGAGAGTTGCTCCTGGGTTTCAGTAGGCTGCCTGGAATTGGAGGACAAGCTCTACTGCTCTGTACCTGCTTCTCTAGCTCTCTGCCACCTGGTTTGCTGAGGCAAAGATCTCACACTGTTGCTGATTTGGAGTTGCACTGGGAGCAGTGCTCAAGCAGTAAAGAAAGCTTCGTAGCAGCTCTACAGAGCAATGCTGTGCTAGGCCACGCAGAGAGCCGCAGGCAACGTGCCCGTTGGCCATGTCCCTCCTGCCGGCAGGTTGTGCCTGGGAAGCTGAGCCATATCCAGCTTGTCCCGTAGCTCTTTTCAGCGCAAGGCTCGGCTGTGTCTCAGGGTGTGAATTTGTACCTTAGCTGTGCTTCACCACTGTTATTTTGGGAATGCTCCGTTCCTCAAAGTAGCAAATAGGATGAGTACAAAAATACATGCCTGGCAGAGAGCTCTCTAACCATGGCCTGGGAGCACAGAGGGCCAGAGCAGGTAGTGCCTAGCAGGGTTTGTTCTCAGCTGTGTCTGGGTAAGCTGGCTGTGGCCAACAGGAAACCCGCTCTTATTATGACAGGACGCGCTCGGCCCTTGGGCCGACTTGTGAAAGCGGCTTCAGCGGCTCCACCCTGCGCCTCTCCAGGGAGCGGCCTGGGGCTGCTCGGCCATGGCCACCGCTCTGCAGTGCTCCTCAGATCCGCTTGCTCTGAGGCCTAAGTCAAGGCTTTAACATGAAGCCTCGAGGTGGGGAAAGAAAAAGTGAGCTTAGCCCTCAGCAACCCGCTGCAAGCAGCAGCTCCTACAACCGTTTTTATGTTCACTGAAATGCTAAGCTTCTCTTGGAACAAGGCTCCAGTAAGCTGAGGGAAGTAAACTGTGTTTCCATTTAACTAATTAGCAGTCCTCGGTCCTGGCCAAAGCACACACAACGTTACAGCCATTTTTAAGCTGTTACATGCCTGCATAAATGTGGCTGAGCGAGGCAGCAGGAGCTGCAAACTAGCTAATGGCCAAGGACAGGGTGGGATGAAGGGCCAGATCCTGTTTAGTCCTATCTAGCTCATGTAAAGCTGAGTAACCTCAGTGACTTACTTAAGTAGAATTACTGCAGGTCATCGGTGGCTTAGAAAAGGTAAAAATTTCTTTCCCCCTTCTGACGTTCTGCTGGTGCTGTCTTTAGCGTCTCCTTTTGAGCGATTTCTGTTCTGAAAAAGAGGCCTATTTTTAAGATATTTCAAGTCATGTCTCCTCTCTATTTTTCATTTCCCTTCCTCCTGCACTTTCTGAAAGCATTAGTCTCTTTGATGCAGATTTAATATCCTTAAGAACATTAGTGAGTAGCTCCTGTTGGCTTCATCTCTAATATTCTGCATCCAAGTTTTTTTTCTAGGGCAGCTTAAGGGAGTGGTATCTGGCTGCAGGATGTGGTCATGAAGAGCTGCCACAAAAGGCACAGGCTGGATTAGCAGTGAACAGACAATAAAACACAAGCGGGGACTTACTTAAGAGGACACGTAAGAGTTTCCAGCAAGCAAAAGAAATATTGCCGTGCACTGTGAGGGCTGCCATGCTCCACATGCTAGTTGTGCAGTGCTAGCGCTGTCGCTCATGCCCTTGTGGCATCCTTCACGGGAAGGAGGTGGTAGGCGCAGTGCTGCAGGCAATTTCTTTTGGTTACATCTTCAAAATCTTCAATTGCACATTCATTCTGAGTGAGAGGAACCCGGCTCTCCGGCACTGGTTCGTGACGTTCCTTGGCAGGAGAAAGCAGTGGCCAGTTACGTGTGGGAGGAGCTAGGCTAAAGAGGCGAGACGTCAAAATATGATGCTAAACCTATGGATTATTCAGTTTAAGAACATCCAGAAGATGTTAGTTTAGTGAGAAACTAAAATGGTAGAATATGCTTCAGTGAAACATTGATTTAAATGTAAATGTTCATTTGAATGAATAAAAATGGTATTCAGAATAATGCAAAACACGTTTACTGCAATTACAATTAGTATTTATTTAAAAGTGCAGTGGACAAAAGCATGCCCCCCAAAATATCCAGTTCTTCAACATGTAATATTGCCCACCCAGCAACACCAAAACATGTAGTGCTATCAACTCATTGCTCTTGCAACATATTCTCTTAAATTATGTTTGCTTCACTCTCTACAAGTGTGCATAGTTTCAAGACTTGATAATGTAACATGAGCCTAAAATGGCACCAAAATCCCTTTGCCCTAAGCTTCCGCATTGACACTCTCAGCCCCAGACGGGAAGCAGTGAGTCTCATGTGTGCGTCGCCCGTGCGTGTGTGCTCAGCGCCCCGTGGGAGCTGTTGGCCTCTGCACGAGCTCTGCAGCACGACAATGAACTTCTCGGCGAACCCCAAGCCTCAAAGCACCATTTTTTTGCTACTTGACCTCATCTGCAGAACTACCTCGTGCCCAGATGAAGGCCGGGTGCAGGGTCCATGCGTGGCCACAGTGAGTGGGGCTGAGCGCTCGTGCCAAAGGGTGAAGGTGCTGGGCAGGTGCTCCTTGCCTCTCCTGCACAGGCCAAGCTGGGAGTCCTGTGGTTTTATTCCAGGGCAGTGATAGGACACCCCAAGGGCCTAGTCTTTCCTCCAGGTGCTGCTTTGCTGACTCCTTCCTTAGGCAGAAGCCAGGTCAGGCTTCCTCCCGCTGCATAAACTAGAGGGCAGCTGTGCAGCTGCGGTAACATTAGACAGGGTGCTCCGCACGGCCCTGCCTTCCGCTTCAGGCGGTGCAGAAGCTGGGCAGCCCCTGAGGAAAGGGACTCCTCAGAGAGGGGCCCTGCAGCCGTTTGCCAGGCTTGGTGCCACAGAGCCTGGGATAACTTGCTAGTCCTCTCTGGCTTACGTGACATCACTGGAATTAGGGCGGTAACACTGAATACAGATATACAAATCTCTGTGAAGCTGAGCAGCTCTCTCCCTCTCCTCACATCAAGTTTACTGGACTCCTTCCCCTTTCCTGCCCCTGAGCAGGCTCAGAAGTGGCTGTTAGTTGTGCGTTGCTGCATATGCCTTATCCCACAGTAACAATAAGGAAAGAGCCAAATTAATTAATTCACCAGCAATGGAAAAAAGTGCCATTTCTAGTACCTGTTGTAGTAACTAGGGTGTAGAAGTTGTAAAACAAAAGTAAATATATTTACAGAAAAATCTATTACCTCCTCAACATACTCAACTGTGCTTACTTTAGATGATCAGGATGTGAGATAGTGATGGTATGTGCTTTACTGGTGCTCAGAGAAACCTCAGCTTATTCCAGGGGAAGTGGCTACACTCAAAGTCGCAAAGTTTAGTGTTTTTTTTTCAATAAAAGCTTAAAGTTGTTAGAGGTGTTAGTGTCTCCAACTGTTTGTGCGTGCTGAAAGGGAGCACCTTGGAATATTTGCTACTGTGATGTTTCAGATTAGCACTGGAAATAAAGCAAAGTTGAAAACACTGTTTAGTGGGAGAATTTAAACTAGTATTTCACAGGCTCCATCACTCTTAATAAGAAAGCTGAGCAATTAATTAATCCTGGGTAGTCAATACCAAAGTTGTTAAAAACCACAGGAATATTGCTTCTGGCACCTTAAATGTGGCTGCTTACAAGAAAGTGGCCTGTAGGATTACCCAAAGCCCTTTGGGGGCTTTGTGCAGTGTGTACCTTGGGAGGGCTGACGCTGTGTCTGCATGCTCATTATGCCAAGGTATTGAGCACTAGGGGCAAGATCTTGGAATAGGCTTCTAACAGGGTAAGAGGTATGTTTCAGATCAGCAAAATAATTCTTCTAACACCATAAACCTCCTGTTCTATATCACGCTTTACAAAGCACTCAAAGCAGAGGGCTGGGCAGTTGCCTTGTTCTCTTTTTCCCCCCCCCCTTTTTTTTGTTCCTTTTGAAACAGATGCATGATTATCGATTCTCCAACTTGTGGCCAAGAGAAAAGGTGACAATACAGTGGAGGAGATGTTGACCCTGACTCTTCCAAAATGATCATCTCTGCTGCATGGTAAGGTCCCTGAGCTGTTTTATTTTCTGTCAACATCTAAATACAACATGCAGGAGGGGTAAGGGGATAAGACAGTTCTGAAGTCTTAGTCCTCAACTTAAAAACAGTTGTCAAATAACTGTGCTTTCAGCAGTAGCTTCGTTTCCAGAGCTCTCACACAGTTCATGGTGTGATGGCAGCAGCTCTGAATACTTCACAGCAAGAGGAAAAAGCTCTCTAGTAGAGCAGAGTCTCTGCTCAAGCTCGTAGTGAAGACACGGAGAGAGGAGCAATGTGTTCTCTAGAAAACAGATGTGATTAGCAGGTGGCTCCACTGTTTACCCAGCAGTAAGGTGACAGGGTAAGGTAAGACATGGAGTTATGGGGTTGTTGTAGGTTGCAATTACTCAGGTCTCTAATGCAGCTGAGCAAAAGTTTCTCTACGAAAAGAGGCTGTATATGAGCAGTGGCACAAAGGAGGACCAGGGATGTTTGGGTATGAGCTAGACCCTTAAAAAGTCTCCCCTCTGCCCCCCTGTCTTACTAAGCAGCTTCACCTCCTCGATGACAATGTCATGAGTGACTGCTTTGCACATGTCATACACGGTCAGAGCAGCCAGGCTGGCAGCTGTTAGAGCTTCCATCTCCACCCCTGTCCTCCCCCAGGTCTGACAGGAGCTGCAAATCTCCACCGCGTGCCTGGCCTCATCCAGCCTCAGAGACACCTCGACATGGTTGAGAGGGATGTTGTGACACAGCGGGATTAGCTGGCTGGTCAGTTTTGCTCCTTGAATTCCTGCAATCTGGGCAACTGCCAGCACATCCCCTTTCTTCACCTGGTTCTGCCTCACCATCCCAAACGCTTTCTCACCCAGGAGGACCACAGCACCAGCAACAGCAGTTCTTCTGGAATTTGGCTTCCCTCCAACATCCACCATGGTGGCCCGTCCGTCCTCATCTGTGTGAGTCAAGCTATCAGAGGCACGAGGTACCTTGGGGCAAGAGCCAGGATCACTGCTGCAGAATTCAGATCCTGGACTTGTCTCTTCAGAGTGAGAATCCACAGAAACTTGGTCAATAGGAGGAGTCTCCATCTTAAGGCACTTTGTGTCAAACCTGGAGCTCAAATCCTTTTGGGAGACACAGCTGCCTCCTGTCATGCGCCGCTGTTGCTCTAGGTGAGATGCTGGCAGGATGAGCTGTCCTGTAAGCTTTTTTGCCTTTAATTCTTTTCTTGTCCATTTGGATAAAGATGCTCTCAAATTCAGCCAATGATTAAATGTATGGCCCCACTGTTTTGAACTTGGGGGATTCTGCAGGGCCTCTTGGCATCGCAGGGATGACATCAGTGTAGCCTCTGGAGAAAAAAAAAAAAAGAGGAGGAAATAAGATGATGATGACACACCTTATTAACTGGAAAGGTAAGTCTAACAAATGAAAACCCTCCCAGAGCACTGCTTGGGACTTTTTGCATTGCAAAAACCTTAAGAAGCCTGAAAACATCTACTTTTCCATTTCTCCTCTCTCTCATTCTGCCTTTCTGCACTTGCTGGTTGATTAGTACAAACTTCCAAGACTCATGCAAATGTCACAGACAAGAGGCAGCAACTTTCTTTCAAAAAAGTATCAACACTTATTGAGGAACAATATCCAACTAATCTTACAGGAACACTAGTGCAGAAGAAAAACAAATCACTGTATCTCAGCATCCCATGGACATTGTCCCAGGATTAGTCTGCTTTAGAGAGCATAGCAGGGCTAAAAGGTAGGTCTTCCATGAAATACTCATTTCCAAGACTTCCAGCCTGTGCAGTTGCACTTTGCTTTCTTCTCCTTTGCAGGGAAAGGTCATGGCAGCACCTGAGGAGAGCAGGGACAAGAGGCATCACCTTTCACTGCTCCATCTACAAGCTGTGATGAGCACCTCACTCACTACTGCTGGCCCTTACCCTGTTACTGACAGCTGAAGTTTAAGCACTGGAAAAAAAAAAATCACTCTCCCCTCATTGATGGATAGATTTTAAATGCACTCAGCAGTGAGTTCCAAGCTGAGCTGGCAGAGCTCCCAGCTGGCACAGAAGTAGCAAACCCTCCTGCCCTTCACCACTTAATCCCTTGGTTTTGGCTTTTCCACAGGGCTTAATGCCAAGCATCAAAACAGAAGGAGTCTTTTTCACATAGAAGTGATTTGTTTTGTGAGTAAAGAGGAAGCAGCATAGAGGTAAGTGTCTAAGCCGTAGTTTAAGAGCCTCCTTGATAAGCATTTTCCTCTTCTCCCAGAGCTCCTGTTCTCATTGCTCCACTCTCAGAAATGTAGCAGTTAGTAAGGCTTTGCTCACTATTCTCCTTCAGTAGCTCTGGTAGCGGAGCTGAACTCCCTCACTTGCAAGTTTTCAGACTGCTCATGGGTGAACCAAAGCAGCTCCCAGGCCTGCTGGTACTACCGTGGACTGTCCACATCACAACAGACACTCCATGGGCAGTGCAGTACTGGTAGTGCTTGTGGCTTGTTGCTGGTTTTTAAACAAAAACAAAACAAATGAAAGTCCCTCCCTCTGCTATACAAGAGACCCATGTGCTTAGTATCTTTCTCAGTTATGCAGCAGCCTCCAACTCTGACAAAAGTGCAGATTACTGAATCTTAACACACCATAGATTTTTTTAATCACTGCAGTCATTTACACTTGGGGAAAGGCCCTTTCAGATCTACAGCTGACAGCCTGTGCAGGAAAACTAAGATTATTGGAAATTTAGCAATAATGTGTTTACTCTCAGCTCTGATATAGTGCTATCTATAAAAATAAGAAATGGGATGAAGTAGACATAAATGTTTGAGTGCAACATTACTTTGCTTTAGAAGAGCACAGAAATTGGGCTTATTCCTTCTTTTCTTCCTCCTTTACATAGCAAGAGCTAATCTGAATCTTCTTTAAAAAAAGACAAAAAGTACTCTGTTCTTTTGGTTTCGTGGATTAGCCTTAAAGGTGAAGTTAAAGCTGTGCAGGGTGCCTGGCCTTTCCAGAAGGCAAGGGCAGACAAGCACTTAGTTCCACAGGATAGACACAAATGCATGGGGGTTCAGAAGAGAACTGTTTAACTCAAGTTGTGAGCTTAAGAAATAAAGAAAGTCAAAATAAAATGATAGGTACGTACACCTAACAGCTCTTTTACAGTATTCACCTGTTCTAGCAACCCATTTTCTTCAAGTCCCACACAGTCTGGTAAGAAGTCTCATCTTCACCCATTTTGCTCATAATAAATGGGTAATTCCTTATGCTCTATTATTGAGCCTGAAAGTTTAATGTGTTACATCTCAGCTAGTAAAATTTTAGGCAAAAGGAGACAGGAGATAGTTTAACTAAGGAGGAACCTCCCATACCTGTGAAGCGAAAAATCTGCTAAAAAGAGTATTTTGATTAAAGGCAATAGGAGACATAGCATATTACAACAAAGGCTCAGACAACAGCAGTGCAGGTAAGAAGCTAGGTTAGGCTTATGAGATAGCAGAATGGATTCATGATTTCCACAGCATTCTTTAAGTTTCATTAAGTGAATTTTCCCCTCCCCATTCCACAACACTTTGCATGCCAGCATTATTTGAACTGTGTAAATAATTAAAAACACAATTAGGAAATCCCCTAGTGATTCCCCATGTGCCACAGTGGGCTGTTCTCCATTCATCTCCAGTTGTGGTGTCTGTGCCCTTGATGCAGAGGCTGCCAGCAGTTGGTCTCCAAGGGACACAGAACAGCTGGGGAAAACCTGGACAGGCTGCCTCCCTTACTGGGCCATCAGACCATGTTGGAGCACTTCTCCAAAGGAAGCTGGATGCATCTCATCTGCGCATATCCAAACATTGTTATGAATGCTAACTTCGACATGTGGGGATTCTTTCAAAGGCATCTCTCAAGATGTCACCAGACTGGGACCTACAGCAGGAGTTTAATATAGTTTATTTTTCACCTTTAAAACAAACAAAAACCCCAGAAAATCTTTCTTTCATAACAAGTGACTACATATTTTTATCAGTGGCTCCTCTTTTCTTGAAACACAATGTAGCAGCAGCCAAACTCAAAACGCTAAAGCAAACTGAACTAGATGAGCTTGGGCCACTGGAGCCTTTCACATTTAATCCCAACATGGGAAAACCAGAGACCTTTAAGGAGGAACATCAACTTAAAAGCAGTGACCGTGTCCTCTGAAGAATTTACTTCCCAATAATGAAAACAAAAGCACCACGTTTATGGTTAAAACAATAGGGATCACTAGATCACCTGTAGCAGAGACCTGCAAATTAGTGAATGTTACCTTTCTTTTGAATACCTGTTTTAAAAAAAGCTGTATTTTAAACTGCACAGACTCCTGAGTTTCAGTGGAAGTGTGAAAGTTTGGGTGTGAAATACAGTATATATATATATATATAAACTTTAAAAAGAAATAGTAGAACTACTTCCAACTAAGGACCTCTCAGTGCTCTTATATGCATCTCTTCAGTTGTCTTTAAGAGAGAAGTAGTTGGGAAGAGAGTTAAGATTCCACAGCAAAGGATATGTGAGAAAATCAGAAACAGAACCCCAGCAGGGCTACGTCAACTCACGGAAAAAAATTCAAGCAGCAAAAAAGACATCTTTGATAGGCCCAGCAAGGAAAAAAGCTCTTGTCCATATGGCTAGTGAGATGCTACCGTTTGGTTACACAGAAGTAAGAGAACATTTCAAAAGAATGAGCCCCCATGTGCTAGACTCTAAAAAGCACAATAGTGAAAAAACCTTGAATTTCCATCAGATAACAGGTCCTATATAACAAAGTATACGCAAGAACCAAAACTGAATTTCTTGACGAAGACATTAAAGGAAGTCCTGAATTCTCTATGTTTATTCTGCAATTTGGTCAATATTACAGACCAATTCTATTTCATAAAGCTCACCTAAAACTCCTCTATTAATTATTCTACTGTTCTTCTTAAGTCCAAAGGAAGAGACCGAAAAGTTGGTGATTCCTTGGAAAATTTAATGTGCTTCTTGCGATTAGAAAAAAAAATAAGACAAAAGATTGTTGTCCATGAGAAGATGGGAGAAGGCTGAGCAGGGGCAATAAACTTTTCCTCCATTTCCATTTTAGCATAATTTTAACCATAACCCCTTTTTCTCTGCCTAACCAAAACCATGCACAAGTCAGAATTAAAAGCCCAGCCCCCTCTGCTTCCCCAAAGACATAAACCAAACAAAATCATGGTATGTTTATTACGTACTGATTTGTCACCCACCAATCAGGATCATTGGCCGGTTTTTCATCTGGGAAATGTTAAACATGCCTAGAAATAAAATAAGGAACACATAAAAATCCTAGCTTTTTAGGTTTTAAGAAGTCATGCATCTGGTTTACATACTTAGTTTTCTGCTCTTCATAGTGCAACCTTCACACGAGGAGAATCAAAGCTCAAGAAAATTCTGGGGAACAGGCTGGGGAGGGGAGAAACCTAGTATAATATTATTTCAAAACCTAGCCACCATCGTCTGCAAGTATCCAGCTGCTATGGAGCTATCACCCTGTAAAGTCTTTTCCCAGAAAGACTTCCATAATTTGAATTGCAGTCTACCTATTACAGAATTAAAATAACTTGGGACTATCTTATTTCTTAACAATAGCAATTAACTTAATTAATTCTATGGATGAGCTGTTAACAGTGTTCCAGTTCAGAGAACTCCAATCACAGAAGACCTCAAGGACAAGAGTAAGATTAACAAGTTGGAAGATGAAAGAAAATGTCAGGTAAATGCTGTTGATGGCAAAATTATTTTACTAGAGAGGGGGAAACACTTCCCCTCTCTACCCTTTCAAATCAGAGAAGAAAAAAGAAAAAAAAAAAACACACTTTATAAGAAAAAATAACACCACCACCGCATCAAACCTTCAGCCCAATTTAGTTTTTAAAAAAAAGCATCATTTCATCTGGGTCAGTGCAATGCACTTTGCAAATGAGTCTACATGCAGACTGATGATCTTCCTTAAATGTTTTATGCATAACTAAAAGAGGGCTAAAAGAGGGTAATTCTGGCAGAATATGTAACAAATAAGAGCCAAAGCGTGCTTTTAATATAAAAGGAACTATTCCCTGCTCATGGAGCCAGTTCACATACAAGAGGTCAGTATTGCCAACTGCAGCCAGATTACCAAAAGATGGTTAGGTTCACATGTGACTGAACTATAGTTGATAGCTGTATAAATTAAGATAATCTAGCTTGAGGATGTTACTGCATCATCACGGACTGTGTGTCATTACCCTGTCACTTGTGGAAACACAATAATGCAGCAATTGAACTGACAGCTCAATTTAGTTTTAGTTCTTATTTTACAACAAGCGAATTTTAAGGAAAATGTGACCTCTTGATTTCTGCCTAGCTTTACAGCTTATTGTTGCTATTACAAGCAGTATACTTGTACTTCTTTGAAGACAAGAAGTCGCAAGAAATCTGAAAAATTGCTAGCTAATCTGGATTCCAGCTCATGTGGGAGGTTAGGAGACGAAAACCAGCATTCAAGTTTTGTAGTAACTGTTTAACTGGTCTATCACCAACTTTCCTCAGATAATAGAGTCTTCCAACAGATGAGAAAATTCTTTCTTCAGTGATTGCAGCTCCAGTCAAGAACCTTTTTCTTCTCTGCAAGAGAAGGACATTGTCTGTCCTGGTTACTGCCTTTCTTTCTCAGGTACAACAAACATACCAGCATGCTGTTTCTTTTTTCTGCCCACTGCTGCTCCGATGATTTGAACCAGGTCTTCTTCTGTAGCACCCGACCGTAGGTGATCTCTCAAGGACACTTCTGAGTTTCCGAAAAGGCACACCTAGAGCCAACCCAGAGGAAAGAAAAGAGGAGAAATGAGAAAGAAAAGAGAGGGAATGATCCTTCTGTAAAGCACAAGGCTTGGGTCAGTGATGAGAACAGATGTTTCTATGAAGTAGAAAGTTCCCATTCAGCTGCATGGAAAACACCCTCTCACGACAGCAAAGACACAACAACCCTGTCAGTCTCTGAAGGTGATACTTTGACACTGTCACAATGCTGGTATCCGGCTGCTAAACGGGCAACTCTCCAAAGTCAGCTTCAAGGAACAGCGTACCCCAATGATTATTGTGGTTAAGAACAGCCTATGCTGAACCCGTACAACAAACACACTCACTTCAACACTAGTAACACTGAAGGTGACTGGCCCCTGAGAACAAGCGATGGAGAGTTTACTAGACTACCCTATATGTAATTCAGTTCCAACAGGATAAGCATAAGAAGGTTTATGCAGGCAAGTCCTCCAGGAGCTGAGTACTGCTACAGTTCCCTTGCACTAGTCTGATGCTGTGGCAAGAAACTATAGATATGGCAGATGCCTGCCATTGAAGACAGTAGCCGTGCCCTTTCTTGGATTAAATTTTCAGATGCTGAGCAGTTCCTGAACACATGCACACACTGATCCCACTGCAAAACCTATTTCAAGAATTCAGTTTTTACTCAGAGTGGTTGTTTTAAACCAGAGCACTATAGATAAGTCTTCTGTAGCTTGTAGGAGCCCTTTTTTTCATCAATAATAGTCTTGAACCATGAGACTATACCCTATAAGCAATGGGAGGCAAAAAAAAAAAAAAAAGCCAAACAAACAAAAAGGCAGCAGGAAGCTAGAACAGTGCATACAGAAAACCATGGCTACTTTGCTTGCCTAAGCAAGCCTGATTCTTCAACAGGGATAAATCTACTAACATAAAAACACCAGAAAGTTTCACTATATTTTACTTAATTTTCCTCCTCTAACTGACCAGATTCCACTTTGGCAAATACTATGAAAGAAAATAATTCTTTGACAATCAACTCTCACAGTTTGCCCTCAGTTTATAGCTCATCTCCTTTCCTGTTCTCCTTGCAGACTTCATCATTACACTCCTCCTGCACTCCTCCTGCTGAATCATCTTCATTCTTCTAAATCTGCTTTTAGGGCTCTATTGTTCAGTGTTGTATAGTTAAGGTCCAGCTCTGTTACTACTGTATGTCATCTATTAAAAATGTAAATAGTTTTGAAGAGGTCTAGCCTATTGAAAAAAATGTTTATGGAAGACCTTTTTTTCTTTATCTCTTTGTCCACACACATACACACATAACTTGGGAAGTTTATGTAACCTAAGCTCACTGGGCCTTCAGGCTGCCTGGGTCATCTGACATTAGACAGCAGCACAGCTGTTGTCAATATCAGGTGACAACATGTAAGTGCCAAATTTTAATTGAAAACTTTAATTTTGCCTCCAGAAACTGCCAGTTTCAACGTGGCAGGAAACAGCTCCCTCCCCCTTCTGCAGCCGTTGACCAAATGTACAGGCTGCTCCTGAAGAAGAGTGCAGGGGGATGGCTGGTGAAACGGGACAGATCCTTGTGGAACACAAAAGCCAAGCCCTCACAGCTGCTTGGATCTCTTATGGGAAATCATCTGCTTGTCACATGTTTCAGATGATTTTGAATCAAAGATTAAAATAAATGTTTATGTTTACTGGTCTCGCAACCAACATATTACAGTTCAAGCTAACTATGTTAGCAAAATAGAGAAACAAAACAAATTGATGCAACATCTCCACAACAAGCTCAAACAAGAAATTGTACAAGAAATCAAAAGATAAATATGCTGGAGTAAACTAGTAATAATTATGTGTCTTTCCACCCTACCTTACATCACAGCTACTCTTAAGAGAAAAATTTCAATGCTACTTTAGTGGTATGAAAGCAGAAAAATCCAGGCTTTGCTACTAACCTTTAGGTTTCCATCTGCTGTTATCCTCAGACGGTTGCAGGTTCCACAGAAGTGCTCTGACATTGAGGTGATAAAACTGACTTGTCCTTGAAAATGTGGCACCTTATAACTCTGCAGAAACAGAGGAGAAAATAGACACTAGGATAGCCTCTTTGTTTTAAAAGCTCACCCTATTCCAAGCTTTTATCAAATCTGATCTGAAGACAGTAACTTAGGCTTTCCTCTTCTAAAGAGTCAGTCACAAAAATTGCAGGCCTGCCTTCTCCAGGTCTGAGGTGGATCAAGAGAATGATGCAATTGAGTGAAAGGTTAAGTTTTGATGCATCTGCTGCTAAATGAAACATAGCTACTTAGTTCCATTCAATCTACAAGGGATTATTGTTATATTTCTATTAAACAAAAAACACTACCTCTCAATTTGCCAATCTATCACAAGCAAAAAAATATATATATATTTGCTTTTGTTTTGGCTAACCTGAGAAAAAGGAGCGTTCAGATCCACTTTTATATTGCTACCTCACTGAACAACTGTTTCATTAGGCTTGTTCATCTGCATCAGTCATAGATGCAGAGACACAGACTGTTAAAAATTTTCAAAAGCTGCAAATATAAAGAATAGGAAGCTCCTATCCTTTATCTAACAAACATATCGGGTAAAGACACAGTGTTTCTAGAAGTAAAAATTTAGGGTTTATTAAGAGTCAAATGACATGCAGGCAGCTAGACCAAAATTTCAGAATTATTACACTGAGCATCTTTCACTTTGCTTTTCAAATATAAAATTTGACACTTGGCATACCTGAGGAATCTGGGGCAGTGGAAGGGGCAGTAATGAGGGCACATTTCACATGTTCTTTGTCTATCCTCACCTTAGCTGTGCTGGAGGCTTCACAGGGCAATTTTTCCAACTCAGGCCATCGCTGTTTAATTGTATCAAGCATTTCTTTGTAGCTCACCATCTTCTTGAAGTTCCATTTATTGCCTGGAATTAACAAAATCAGCATAATTTTAGACTGTGGATTTAATTTTATCAATGAGGGCAAAACCACCTTTCCATTCTCCACAAATCTGAGTTGTCCCAAGCCAACTAATCCTGTAACTAATTTTTCTGCACCATATCCAGGGCAGACATGTGAACTGCAAAAAAACAAACCAAAACATTTAACGTAAAAGCTGAGGCAATTCCTCGGGTGCTCAACAATACTTCAAGAAATCAGCCCAAAGAGTGAAAAACACAACCACCAGATAATTTACCTATGTCCAAGGCACCCAAACTCCATGGAGAATTTCAACACAGGACTGCTTACCATCAAAGGGCATGTACTCTATAAACCTCACATCAAGGGGCAGATCCTTTGTGAAATCCACAAAGTGTAGCAGTTCATCCTCATTGAAGCCTCGCATCACCACACAGTTCACCTGAAGGAAAAGCAGTCACCTGAAATTAGTGAGCAGAATACGACTTTTTTAACACCTGCACAAGGTTTCACAGTCCTCAGACAACACAGATAAAAAGAACGCTTTATTTGGAAAGAAAATATGATTAAGAAAGTTGACAAGTTTGAAATGGTGCAGATGATCGTTTCTGTCACACTCACCTTTCAGTTTTTGCATCCAATATAACTGAACTTTAACCTTACTAATCAGAAGACTAATAAAAGCAAAGTAACAAAGGCATCATCTTTCCCACTTAAGCTATGGCAATTTTACTGCCTCAAATGACAGCTCTACTCCCCAGTGATACATTTTACAGTTTCTGTAAAAGTACAGGCAGGATACCTTCTGCCATGTGATCTACTTTGGCAGATCACAAGCAAATGTCCTAAACCAGGAAGTGTTGACATAGCACTTAGCAGGCACAGGCTGAAGGACGACTAGTTACGCCTGTCGCCAAAAAGAATTTAAAACTTAGCTTTCTGCACTTTCCTCATAAGTTGTATTTGCATTGGAACCTTGGGTCCTCTCTGCTTTAACTGAAGAACAATAGACAGCCCTGAATTTGTTCAAACACTCCCTGTTAGGAAGGTAGACTTGTATATCCTAAGTATAGTGCATCATGATCCTTAAGGATTTTCAGCAAAGTTTAAAACCTAGTTTCATTTCAAACGTTTCCTACAATTCTACAGTCTAAACCACTTACACATAACCGATTGTCCAAAACACTTGGAGAAATTGCAAGGAACCACAGTTGTAACTCAAAGCTACAAATGAGAGTTAGGGTGAAGTTTCAGTTTTACAGTTGAGCTGATCTACCTGCACCCCCAAAGGAGAATTCCCTTTGCCTCTTCCTTGCACCAACACTCATCGGACTCTGCTGTGAGTAGCTCAAGGAGATAAACCAGGAGAATATTACTAATGTCTTTCTGCAGGGTAGCTTCGTGGCTGTTAACTCCCTTGGCCAAGTTCACAGACAGGTCAGACAAGTGGTGGCTCAATAAAGGGGGTGGAAACAGGCAAGCAGAAAGCCGGACCATGCCTGTACCTAGGCAATCCACAGGCTTTGCTGCAGGGTGAACCTTTATCGTCAGCTGCACATGGAGGTAATATGAGTGAGTTTCCCCCATTACCTCTTGACATGACCTTCAATTCACAAAACTTTTCTTATGAGAAATTATTGACAGAGTGGAAAAATAACAGATTCCTCGTGGGGTAAGTTGTATCTTTTAATCATGCAATACAACATTCCCAGAGTAAACAATAACTGGTTTTACCTTAACAGGATGATATCCTAATTCTGTGGCTTTGTGGATCCCTTCCATTACCTTGTGAAAGCCTAAAACATAAGAGGAATAAATTTTTATTTGTTTGTTTGAAACAGGTTATAAAAGAAGGTCATTAAATACAACCTCCCCCTCCCCAAGAAAAAAAAAAGAAAAAAAAATAAAAAGAAATAAAACGAAATAAAAGCAATCTGATTCAGTAGACAGGCTGCAGAGCTGCAAGAAACAGAACTTCAATTCTACCTTTCTCCTAAAGACCGCCAATGTGACTGTGGCCAAATTACTAAGATATGGCTTTTTAACTGATATTTGGGTAATCAAAAACATTGGAATGCTCTTCTGCAGTTTTAGACATCCATGTATCGTTAGCATACGATACTCCCCTTACTTCAGCTTTGCTTTGTCTTATGCCCTTCTTAAAGGGAGTGGCAAACATTTGTGAAGTGCCTCCAGATGCAATGAAGAAAATACCAAATTAACATTTATTTTATAATAACAGCACATGTGTCTCTTAAAACTGCAGAATCTCATTGTTGTAAATCAAATACTTAAAATGCTACTAATTTAATTTAAAATGGAAAGTCAGGGGAGGTTTTAGGAAAGAAAAAGCCACTTCCATTTTGTTCCTCCCTAGCTACAGATTCAGCTGGCTTTCCCAAGGCCCTTTGAAGGCTTTGAAGAACAGAGGCAGCATTTTACAGGATCTTCATCACTATCTTAAACATGTGGATTCTGAGCACAAGATGAGGGCGAGGGTAAGGGGAAGAGAATTTAGGAAAGCAATTCTGTTGACATTTCGCCCTTGAAAAGAAGTAAAATATATCAGAAGCTGTAATGACTTCAAAGAATTAACTACTCATCTGTACCCTACTTGTCAACTACTCCCAGAGAGATAATGTTAATTTAGGGCAAATACCTTCATCCATACACATACCTCCTAAGTCTAGAAAATTAAAAAAAAAAAAAACACTAAAAAAAAAAAGGCAGCAATGCATTTTATGATTCCAAAAGCCTTAAACAAATCTCAATACCTTTCTCATTCAAGGTAGACCTTCTGTCTACTTTCAATAAGTAAAACTCTTTTATTAAGGTGTCAGTTTTAGGTTTGACATTATTTCTTCCCTGTCACACTCAGCAGTTGGGGCAGAAACAAGGTGATAGTAGGAAGACTGACACAGAAAGCTACTGATCACTGTGTACAAATTCCTGGCAAGTGGATATGCACAGTTGTTAGTCTAGTACCTGATGCTGTAAAAAGGTATTCATAAACACTACACTCAGTTCTCTTCCTCTTCTTCACTCTGAACATGAATATAAGAGACCAAATAATGCACGAGACTGAGCTCCTACTCCCATAGCTATAGTCCCAGAGTATAAGTACTCTGGTAGTACATACTACCAAAAAGGCAACATTTTTTAAAAGTTTGAGCTGACTCTCTCCATGTTCTTGCTTTTTTTTTTGTAGGTCTGTCACTCTCCTCATTTCTTCTCTACTGGAAGCTCAAAGGCATCACACCTCTTGTTAACTTATAGGTGTTTATTGCAAGCAAACTATAACTTGCTCATTCGATAGTAAATATGCACAGAATATTGTTATGCTCAAAAGCAGAATAAAGGAGAGACAGAAAGCTTCCATGCAATTCCTCTCTGGCTAGTAAAGAGCAAGTATTATCAAGGTGGGACAGAGGTAAGCAGAGGTTGCTGTTTTATGAGCAGGTCCTCATGCTAGTTTGGCTGGGAAAAAAAAAAAAAAAAAAGCAAGGAGGGAACTGTGAACTAACTGTTGCAAGCAAATGCTTAAAGCACCAACTTGTCACCATGCTCCTTCATCACTACTTGCTTTGCAGGTATTGTGGCATCAATGGTAGCTTTCATTTCAATTAAGTGACTTTGCAAACCGACTGTGGTAAGAGGGATAATACATTAGCCTAAGCACATCTCAGAGCCAAGAAAGGGATCAGAAAGCCCAGCAATAGCTCAGAAGACCTTTCATGCAACTTCAGAAAGATGACACTGACTCAACAGGCCAGAAAGCAAAGACAAACAAGTAGCAGATTGAAAACTAGGCATGTCTGAATATTCACATGCTTTGGCTCAGCTGGCTGGAGTGGTTGAAGATTACAGCTTGCAACGGGTCTAAATCAATGTCATCCCCAGTTCTGCCTCTTGTTTCCTGCCATACTAGCATGAAAGTGCCGATTACAAAGAATATTCAAAAACTCCTACCAAAAAAACCCAAAAAAACCAAAAAGAACAAACAAACAAACAAAAACATAACCACAATCCATATAAGGGTAACTTTGTTTCTCTGAAATATTTGATAATCTCATAGTCTTTACCTTATCCCCAAACCATTGAGAAGAAATTATGCCTTCTGTAATCTGCATTAAAGACACAAATTTCCCCCCCAGCTTTTCCTAAAATCCTAAAACTAGTCCCCAGAGGAACAGAAAAATTGATTCCAAGTTTCTTGAGTTCCTGGTTAGCTCCATAACCATAAGATGCCACCTTTGCCCTCTGGAGAAGTTAGCCTGTAGAAGTCTAGACCTGGAATCCCTCTCACCTTAATAGAGCTATATCTTGTCGCCTCTGGAACTGCCACACAAGACACGGTAGCACAGTAGGGCAGGCACTTTATTCTCTGATCACTCCAAACTTGTAAATCTATTAAATAAAAAATCCTCAAAACCAATAATAAGTATTTTTACATTATTTCAGCCTCTAAGAGAGTGAAAAAATGAATATTGCCTTCATATGATCTCCAAAAAAAGAGAGCCTTTATTCTCCTCTTTAAAAAATATTAGAAACCACCAGAATGTTCTTCTTCATTCTCTATGCTATATGGACAAGAATTTCTCTGTATGTGGCAAAGGCCTTTTTTCTTTAAGAAAAAAAAGCATTTATCTAAACTCTCCAACAACTTTTAGTGAGATGTAGTTTATAAGCAGCATATTCCGAACAGCTTCCAATCAGATATGCAATTATATACAACCATATAATTCAGGAAACTGCAGGATCAAACTTTTCCCTTCACTAGCAAAGGAGGAACTTGTTTCCAGTGAATGTCACAAATCAGCAAATCTTCAGATACAGAGAGCAGAGGGAGCGATCACAATCAACACCTAGCTGTGATTTGATATTTCCAGATACTTCTCTGCAAGTCAGTTGTGCCATGACACAGCCATCAATACAATAGCCTAAGCTAGAAGGGTAATGCTTGAGTCAGATTTTTTTTTTCTGACAGGGTCAGATTTCTGCATCATGACTTAGAAACCTGCAGAGGTATTTCCAGAGACAGAGGCAACAAGAACATCTTTCTGCGCCTGTCAGCGGACCTTTGATTTAATAGTAGAGTGATTCAAATGCTGAAATTACTTCTGGTTGCATCCCAGATTTCTAAAGCCCTAGCCATAGGTTTAGCTGACCCTGGTGCACCATCTAGTGGCTACCTAGAGGCTTTGTCTAAATCACGAGTTCTGACTGCTAAACCTGCGTTTCTGCACAGAAATACTAGATGCAAGATCAAATCAGCTTTATGTTGGAAGGAATGACAAAAACGTGTGTTGAACTTAATGCTGAGCTTTAGGATTCATTTAATTAAGAACCTGGAACACTAGGAACCCTGAAAGCATTTTTGAAACTTTGAGATTACTAGCTCAGTCACATTAATGATTACAGATCATGACAAGATCAGCACCCTTCCTCAAATGAACTCAGGCATAGCTTTTGTTTATTCCTTTGAAAAAGTAACGGGGATAGAGAAAAAAAAAAAAAACACAAGTGACCCACCATGATTTCCAGAAATTGCTACTATTGTCGACAAGAAGTTCAGTTTTTGTGGCATGTAAGTTCTTGGCTGCTTTAGGGCTCTTTTTAATGAATAGTGGAAATACTGTTCTTTAACAGTGTTAAAAAGCAGCAGCATGAGACAGATCTGCACAAGATCTGGAAAGTCCTCTTGATTTCCATGACTAATCATTACTCAGTTACTGGCAACTGTAAGTTAGAGTCCCACAGGCAGTGGCACACACACTGCTGTATCAGTTCTGACTAAAAGGTTTCTAAGGATCATAGATGGAAGTGTTCATATCAAGCATGCTAGTACAGGTTGCTTCTCGCAGCCTCAAAAGCATAGCTATTAATTTCTTCCCCACAATAGCTGAGCATGAAAATGAAAGATCCCAAACAACTACCAATGTTACTATAATTATTAACCAAGTTGCCCTGGAAAACAAGCCTGTACCTTTCCTCCGGACAATGAACTCAAATTTAGCTGGGACCAGAGTATCCAGGCTGATGTTGACAGCATTCAGCCCTGCCTCCTTCAGCCGGGGCAGCAGCCTGGCTAGGTTGATCCCATTGGTTGTGACAGCAATGGTTTTCAGCCCTTCTAGCTTGCGCAGCTGACCTAGGAAATGAAAACAAACAGAAACTTTAGAGGAAGGAATTCCACTGTTACACAGAAAATGACAGAAAAAAAAACAACATTTCAGAGCCATAGAGAGAATGTGAGGCAGTATGTTGCAGGAAACAAAAGCATTTCCATTTGACAACTGAAATGTTTCCACCATTCACATTGGTATCCCAGCCAGTTGAGGACTAATGCAAGACATTCAAAAATGGCTAACAAAAGAAAACCACATAAAAAAAAATCATTACCATCATGAGATTAAAAGTCTAGCAGACAGCGGCCTCCTCATAAACCAAACGCAGAAATCCTCACCATACCACCACACTACATTTCCAGAGGCTTTCAAACCTCTAGTTATCACTACAACAGGAGGGAGAAAACAAAGGAAAAAAACCCCACCATAAACTACTTCCAGGAGCAGAATCGCTGTGAAGTCACTTTCTTATTTTCCCTTCTCTCTTTTCTTGTAGTCTGCACCCTAACTACGTGAGGAATATCTTAAAAACCCTTATTCTTGAGATGGCTTGAGTTACAGGACAAGTATCTCATAATCCAACCTTTCCTCCCTATTTTACCTCTATTCCTTTATGCTGATACAGGATTCGCTTCTGCTTTATCTTCTTTCCCAGATGTTCTGAATATATTCAGCCCTAGCCCAGCCAAGGACTCAGGAATGGAGCAAACAGAATCACACCAAACATGCTGAAGGCTACAACAACAGCCATTTGTAACATGGCTTAAGTGCTCTGTAAAGATCTATGAAACCTGAGACTATAATGAAAGAAAAGGTTTTTACTGAGAACTGATTTTTTTCTCTAGCATTCCTCTACTCACTTCTGAAAACCCTCCCCACAAAGCAGGAATAACCTTTCCACAGAGGCTAAGCTCAAGCTTGCCAAAATCTTAACACTAGCTACCATTTGCAGCCTAGCATTTTTGAGAGCATGGGATACACACGGCAGTCAGCAACTGGAGAAAAGCATAGGAACACCATTACTTTTAGTTAATAAAAACGGTACCAGCTGATTAGGTCAATTAGTGCAGATGGCAGCTCTGACCAATGTTTTTCTTCTTCCTCAGACAACAGGACAAGACACATGACAAAGCACCAGACATCTACTAACACTGGGAACCACCTGTAACAGTTGAACAGAACCCAACCATGAGAAATTGGAGATGAAGAGTTAATACTAAAACATCAGCAAGTTAATGAGGCCCAGTTAGTACATGCTGCCTTACTTGCACAGACTAACTAGCAGCCCATTTGTAGCCCTTTGGGGTTTTTTTGTTCATTGACCTCTAAGTTCAATAGAGATTTAAAAAAAAATCATAGTTTTTTAGCACCTTGTCCTGTATAGAGTCTTGTTTGCTTATTTTTGAACGACTGCTTTAGCAATCAGCACAAGTGAAGACCGCCAATAAAAAAAACTATGTACTGAAATAGAAAACAAAACACATGCTGTAATTCAGTAGCATGAAGTAACAGACTAACAAGCAGCCTAGAACAAGGAAGAACTTTTACATTTACTTTTCCTGTAGGATCAGAAGAGTCACTGAGTTTCTTCACATACTCCTTCAAGTGTTTACTCACTTGTATTTCTGCTACTTGAGACTAGATAAGAAACTCTACCTCCTCATATATGAATTAACAAATCTACAAATCTACCCTGCACCCCTTTGCTCCTGAAACTTGTATGTTCCTGTGAAAAGAAACATCCTGTATAAGTATTCATCTCTCAGAAGACAATAAACAGGTATCATATTGTTAAAGTCCAGTACTAATTTTAACTTGGAATATCCCAAAGGAGGTGGATTCTATATTCCATTATCAACTGTTTCAGGGAAGTCTCAAACATATGTTTTCAGGCGGGACTTACCTGGACTTGATTCAGCTTCCATCAAGTCTTAGCCCCTGAGTCATAGTTTATATATTTGTATGCATTAAAGAACAACAACAACAACGCAAAATAATCAAAACAACTGCAGCAGGCCTATGAATATATAGACATTAATTAACCTGCTCTCCTCTACTCCTTTACAGCAGTTGCAAATTACATATGTTTATTGTGGGGAGGGAAGGGCGGGGAGCGAAGTCAACTAGTAGGAAAATGTCATAGTAATAATCTATGGTTAATATTCACAGGCTTTATTGGTATTTCAGAGACAATTTGTTGTTAAGAGAAAAGATTACCCATAACAACAACACCACTTCAGTCCTATTTGGCAAGCGAAGTATTGCAGCCAGCTTCTATAACCCTTCTAGAATTGCAGAGATTGAGTTTCTTCACAGTAAGGAACATTACAAACAAGACAATAACACTACTATGAAACCTTAACTTTTACAGTCTAAGGTACACTTATGAAGTCATAAATATCAGAAAGGCCATTTTAACTCAATTATTTCATGTTTTTATGTATATGAAATATTGTAATAGAAAGTTAAAAGTAAATAAATTGACATCTAGGCACTCATTTTTATGGAAGTTCAATAGCATAGTCACTACCTCCAGTCTATTACCTCTGTACCATTACTGGATTTTATTTCTTATTTGGTCTGAAATCATAGAGCTGATGTTGTGGCAATTAGAGGCAAATTCTCCTGTATAATATTAAATAAAAGAAGACTACAGTAAACATCTACTAACCACTTTTTCCCAAATACTGTGTGCCTTCAATCTTTCAAAAATGTTACCTCCTAGCACTATTTACTAGCTAAACTATTTGCAAACAACATCACAATACACCATGCTCCCTAAAACAGCCATGAGACTGGAGTAGGATGGAAGTGCTCATTTAGGGCAAATACTGACAGTTTCCAATGAACCTCCAGTAGTATAGTAAGCATATTGCAATGTCTAAGTAATAGTGTTTGATAATTTGCAATTCTTGCAACTTTAAAAAAAGAAAAAAAAAAAGAAAAAAAGAAAGAAATTTAGATCCCAGAGTCATGAAAGCCCATATGTGCCATACCTATGTGCCAAAACAGTATACACTGACCTTATCAGCAGGCTTGTTGAAGTCACTAAGACCTGACCTAAGAAATGACATCTTTACCTCCTCTTTGAAATATGTATCCATTGTATGTATTAAGCTAAAATTAATCCCACAAGGGCAAGTTGACACTAAATATTGAATTAATAGACCAAACGCCAGTAGCTACGAAATATGAGCATATAAAGCAGGTGCTATTAACTTTTCTATCCCAGGTTGTTTTCAGAAATCCTGAAGAACTCAGAACCCTTACAGTCAAGATTTAAGATTCAAGCACAGCAACTTCTTCCAGCTATGCAACCACAGATAGGCTTTACAGAGTGCAAATGGAAGCACATAAACAGAGAAATATTCAGAAGTTCTGCTTGATATATCAGCTTCTTTCTACTTGAAGTGGGGTTTTTTTTATTATCATTATTAACTAGTTTGCTGAAGGAGTCAATTCCAGAAAACATAGTTTAAAAAAAAAAAAAAAAGGTTTTGGCCTAAGGTTGCTTGCAATTTAATATCACCAGGAAAGGTCCTCCTAGACAAGCACAGCTCTCATCATTGGGGTATAGGAGGGAACAACATCAGTAGAGTTATAGACATTGTTCTTGGATCAGTATACAGTCACTTTGAAACACAGTATATTTCAGTATGTTTGTTTGTAACTTACCCACAATATCAATTACATCAGGCCGAATAAGTGGCTCTCCTCCTGTCAGTCGGATCTTCTCTACACCCTCCTTCACAAACAGCTTGGCTAGGGTGATTATCTCCTGAGCAGTTAGTAGTTCTGATTTAGGGGTTAACTGAACACCTTCCTCTGGCATACAGTACTGACCTGAAACATGAGAATCCAGAACTAAATAGTAAGAAAAAAATAGCAACAGTGAATCTAACACTGCAAATGTTATGCAAAATATGCCAAGTGCAAGTACTTTCAATGAGCCTCAATGACTCTGCCTTGCTGAAAAGTAAATAGATCATACACCATATTAACAAGCAATCTACTAATAATTTGCTGTCTTTCTTCATAAGGAAAACAATACTGATTTGATGAATCCCCAATTTACAATAAGTTCACACTTGGGAAGAATGTCTATCTTATTGCTATCTAACTTGAATTCAAACTGACCTGGCAAGCATGGGAATATTGCCAGCCCTAAACTTTGCAGACAGAATTGTACAAATACAGAGAACCTGCCTGAGTGTGAGCTCTTGTGCTTATTACATGTTTTAAGCAGTGGCATACAAACATCCACAAGCATCATCATCCAAAACACTTCTGACTCCTTATCAGTCTCAGACCTCACCTCTTGCTTCCTCACTCCACTGGCAATTCAGCTGAAAATCAGTCTCTAAGTCTCTTTATTGTCTACTTCCTCAACACAAGAAACAAAGCACAGGGCCAACACAAGAAGGACCTTAACTCTTTTGCACAACGTGCTTCTATCTGCTTCTGCATAAGAGCTTTGGGCAAGAAAGAAAACAGACACTTACACCTGAGATTGCATTTTTCCGTCAAAGAAATTCGCAAGTAGTTATGCTGACGCCCAAAGCTGTCTGTCAAAAAAGCAGAGAAGGGAGCAGCATGTTCCAGGAAGAAATGTCCTTTTCCTGAGCTTGGCAACTCCTGAGAGGGGAAAAAAAAAAATGTGCAAAATATTTGAATAGCTATTTTCATTATCACTTGCTCTATAAATATTAACTTGGAACTCAACAGATAATTACTATCCTATCTTCAAGTCATATAAAAAAATGGAATTTTAACAATGCATCTATTGATTGTTATTGCCTGATCCTTAAACATGATTTTTATTTACAATTTTTGTTTTCTTAAAACACAGAGTAACATGAGCAGCACCATCTTCAGAAAGCTCCAAATATTTGCATTTCAGAACCTCTTAAGCTACCTGAAGAACCGCTTTAGGCATCAAATTAAATGTGCCAAATTACAAGTTACAACAGGAAAAGAATACAGATGAAGTTTATACCTAGCATCTTTAAAACATCACTGAAGTCAATACTAGGGCACTGGACTCCCACTTCTGCCTGCACCTGATGGTGACGACTGTAGAATTACCATGCTACCTCTCCATTTTCTGTATCTGTATCAGTAGCTGAAATGACTGAGCTACTTTTGGAAAATGTTTCAATACTTGAGGTGAAACAAAAAAACACCTTGCCAACATAATGTTAATAAGCTGGCTGATACTTGTTTTAGGCACTATATACAAATACCCACAAGCACCATCACCCAAACCCCACCAAATCTGGCCTATGTTGTTTTTTTTTTCCCCCTTCCATTAAATCTGTTAAATAAATATTTAACTATAGGAGACAGCTGCATCGCAAAATGAAAGAGAAAATAGCATCAAAATGAATCAAATGCCTCAATAGGTCCTTGTTATTTAAGCACATGCAGGCACTTATCAGCCAGCTAAGAAAGCTAGAAGAAAGCAGAAGAGTTCTGCAAGTAGAGTTAACACCATACCCAGTGAAACAGTACATACAAAGCCATTCCTGGATACCAAGGAAAAAAAATGTTTACCAAGTTTGGAAAGCATGTGGGTTGTGAGGGGAAAATCAGCTTCAGAATTGCACCTCCAGTTAAAACTATTCTGGCTGGTCATGATAGACTGCAATAAATAAGTTTTGGCATTAATCTAAGATGTAGAATGAGGAGATGGACAAAATTACACATTAACTGATACTTATGCTTACCGAGCAAAGCTCACAATTTCCATCTAGAGTAAGACAGACATGCGAAAATTCCAGAAATACTAAAATTAGTGCATACAGGATGATGACAAAGGACTGGGCACAAACACTCATAGTTATGACCATCATCTCCCTGGCTCTGGTCATCACCAGTAGTAGCCATAGGAGTTCATCCAGAACACGGTTTAAATGTAGTCTTAGCAGGGTGTTTAGATATAGCTACGATGTTAAATAACCTAAGTATCTTTTCTCAAAACACTTAAACAGACACACAAGGGGCAGAAAACAGAAGGAGAAAACGCTGAGCATACAGATCAGCCAAGGCATCAAAGCATATCTGGGGAGAGGCCCAACTTCTGCCATCAGCAGCAAAAATAAATCTGATTCCAGCTGTGCTAACACCGCAGCTGCTGAGCAGCAGAAGCCTTTTTTGGCAGCATGATCTTTCCACCAGCCTCTGAACTATTTACTTCACTTCTTGACTTCTGACTTCTTTGTGGTCTGAGAAGTAGCTCTCTCCAAAACAATCCAGGCAATGCAGGGGTTACAGAATACCAAGGATCTATGGAGTGGCCAACTTTAATGATCAGAAAGCATCTGTTTAAACCTCATAAAACTGCAGTGCTATCTTCAAAGTAGTTGCTTCTCTGTAGGAAGAGAGAAATTGCTTTCAGTTTCTGTTTTCCAAACACCACAGCACTAGATTCCAAAAGCCTGGCTTTCCACCTCTGTATCAGAGCTGTCAGTGACAGAAGTTGTGAAAGCTGATCAATGCACAGCTAAGGAAGTGGAAGCTAGGAGCTTACCTTTTTAGTAATGCTGGATCAACTGGACTTACTGCAATAATTTCTTAGAATACAAGTAAGGTTTAAGTAGAAGAGCTCAGTTAAATACACAGAACTCTCTTTTGAGAACAGACTAAGTCTGAAGACATTCTAAATATTGCCAACCTCTAAAATCTTAACAAGAAAATGTTTTTTGAAAACTATACTGCATTTATGCCCAGTCTTAACCTCTGATCATCTTCTTTCCATTATTTTGGACAGGTGTTCATATTTGAGGGGGTAAAGCATTTTCATGTTTATTAAGATTATTTTAGCCCTTCATATAAGAGCACTCCACTTTTGCTTCTCTCTCAATCATTTATTCCTGCACCTTCCACAGGACCTGCCTTCCTTACCAATTCCACTCCCACCTCCCCATTTTGGACTGTGCATTACAGAGAGGAAAAGGACTGGAACAGTTGTTCTTTGCTGATAGAAGGGAGGCAAGGGGGAATATTTTAATGATTTTGCATAATAGATGCCGAATTTTCTTTTCAAGGACAGTAATTTGTTTACAGTAATTTCCTATTTCCAATATTTAGGCTCTTTTAACTTACTGCTTAAATATGATTAACCCACATGCACATCACTCTGATTCCTTAGAAGCACAGCTGGTTGGTTAATGAAATGTTGCTAGTGCTAGAGGTACACTTATAACGAAGAAACAGAAGTACTTGCACTGTTTTTCTCTTTGATTCACTGCAAAGCGTATATCAAAGTGTGATCTACTTTGAGATCTTAATCATAGAATCATAGAACTGTTAAGGCTGGAAGGGGCCTCTAGAGGTCATTTAGTCCAACCCCCCTGCACACGCAGGGTCACCTAGAGCACGTGGCACAGGGTGGCATCCAAGTGGGTTTTGAAGATCTCCAGAGACGGAGACTCCACAACCTCTCTGGGCAGCCTGTTCCAGGGCTCTGTCACCCTCACTGTTAAGAAATTTTTCCTTAAGTTCCTGTGGAACTTTTGGTGCTTCAGTTTGTGGCCATTACCTCTAGTTCTGTCAGTGGCCACCACTGAAAAGAGGCCAGCACCATCCGCTTATGAAGAGGATAGAGAGCCTGAGGACCCATAATTTTGCTGTGCAAAGCTCACATTGGTTCTTAATTTCATTGAAGCTGAAAGGTTTCACCGAGGATGAGCACAATGACCTCAGTGGGCAGCACTCTCATTATCATCTAAAAATTGTTATGCAATCAGTGGAGCCACCACTGACTGCAATATGGGAGACAAAAATGGGAGAGTTGCCTGTTGCAATCCCAGGCTACCAGAAAATGCATATTCTTTTACATGCAGCTGGAAAAGAGATGAGGCTGTTGGCATTTTAGCAGATCGATGTCTAACAGCACAACTGGTTTTCACCCAAAAGGTGAAAACTTTAGCCCCTAAGCCCTTCAACTCCTGTCCATAGCTGACATGGGACACTTCTGCTAATAGGGGAAGTCGGCCCTGTCACTGAGGGTGCTGTATCTGATCTGTGAAAGAATAATTTCACTCTCAGGGCTGTCAATCCTCTGTTCTATACTAGTACTGAAAGAACAAGAGCTTAGGTGACTGCATCTAGCAGCTATATTTTGACAAGCCATCAAACCTTCAGAGCTGTCAATTCACTTGCAATTTCGAGAAAGCTTTTCTAACAGTGTAGCAAAATTGCAAGCTGTGAGCCAAAGTATTAATAACTACTGTGGCAGGAACCCCACAAACTGACAGGTACTGGAAAATCTAAGTTAAACACAAGGGGAAGAGAATGCAGCTCTTATCTAGCCCTTCTCGTTCACCTTCATCCACACCTGCGCACTGGAAGCATTTGGAAATGTTTGCTTGCAAATATTTGCACTGAAAATGGTTGCTTGCAAACATTTGTTTTGGGTTTTGGATGGGTCTCAAGTGCCACCACAACCTACCTGCCTACAACAGCATTACGGCTGCTCCTCCTGCCAAACCTCCCAGACTCATTCAGCCCCGGCAAGGCTGTCTGAGTCTACGCATCAGCGCTGCCCCCTCGCAGTAGTGCCTAGTGCTGCTATTTCAGCAGCAGCTCACCAAAAGCTCTTCTGCTTCATGCCTCAGTTTTAATACCTTGATGCATAGGGAAGTGGTGCCACAGTGTCCTTGTTCAGCCTGCAAACCAGACAACCCCAGAGGCTAAAAAGGGTCTAGGTAGGTTAAGTGCCAGAATGAGGTCTGAGCTGAGATATTCAAGACAAATGCTTTTCTTGGGCTCTGTAGCTGCAGCACAACCGACCTTAACCAAAACGCTGCAGTTCTGTTTTTTGGCAGAGAAAGTGCTGCTCCCGACTCCAAGCAGCTCCCCACAAAACAGGGCTCTAGGATAGAGAGGGCATCTGACATGACTGGACAAAAATAAGGTCCATATTAGACCCTTTTAGCCAAACTGGGCTCTTCTCTTTATCCCTACAGCAAAGATTTAATTCATGACACAGAAAGTTTCAGGTGATTATGTTCAAGAGTTACATGATCTACTGGCAAACAGGTGGAAGAGGCTGAAATAAAACTTCACCCCAGGATGCCAAAACCCTTTATTGGAAATTATACATCTTGCAAGGGGCGGGGGGGGGGCGGGGGGGGTGGACTATCTTG